ACTCTACATGGAAGGCAAACTAACCTTTAATACCATATTACAAATGAGCACTTATCAAAAAATATAAATGCAATACTTGACTTTGCACCATTAATGAATATGTTTCTAACCATCAGCCATGTTGTCCGCCATGTTTCTACCTATATGACGTCAACAGCTCGGCAACTCGTGACTTAAAATTTTCTCAGTTGGGAAATCATTTTTCTGATTATTCCGACACCACATGAATGCACAGATAAACATGAGGTGACTTGAATGTGGAGGCAAACAAAAACATCAAACCTTTCGTAGCCGATGAGGAGAATTTAACTTTATTCAAATTAAAGGGAAACTTTGCTGATTTTCAACCAACTTTATATCTTAAAAAGGTTGTTGGCTCCTGTAAAGATCATGTTTCAAAAAATCAATTGGCTGGAAGGCTCCGTTGGAAAGTGTGTGCTGGCCAGAACACTGACATTATGTGGCCATCATTCAGTTTCTAAACTATTGAATTTCCAGAGGGTTCAGTCGTCACATTAGACTACTGTTGTTTTAGTATATAGTACTGTACATTTGGAAAACAAATGTTGTGAGCATAGTGAAGTGTAGCAGAACAGAAAAGTGCTTGATCTAGCATGTGGCGTGGATTGGATCAGGACATTATACTGTATCTTACTGTTATGACATAAACCAACCAAAAGAATCACAGCTAAAAGGCAACATTATTTTTTTCACCAGACGGCATAAAACTGGTCATCTGTGTACCCAGCCAACATAACAGGCCACTGTCATTACAACTTCATGCGTCCAAACTTTGTTCAAACCCACAGAACTTTATTGTACGTTCTAGCGCAGATCCCAGAGTTTCCAAATAAACCACATCTATAGTTTTGCTGGTGCAGCCCTAAAAACATTTAAATATAGAGTATTTCACTCTGTAAACTCTTACTGCAGTTTACCTACCATGACTTTCACCTAAATAAAGCATTTAACGGTTCTTTTTACAGTTACTTGTTCAGGTTGCCGTAGAAATGAAATTATCACGAGACATACTTACAAAACAAATGGTAAATATTAATGTAACCTGAGCAAATTTGGAAAAGAAAGTAAGGTCTAAAAACTGCAGTAGTACACACTTACATATAATCCACACTGAAATATAGAGCTTCTAATTAATTGGGTCTGCAGTTCAAGTGTCAGAATAGATATTCCTGTTTGTTTATAGACCATCTCAAAAACCTTATTTATTATGAAATATTGCTCTTTGTCACACAAGGTAAACATGTCACCATATGGTTGAATATTTCAGCTCTTTCTACCGAGCAGTTTGCTTAATAAATTCCTTCATGAATCTTCTCTCTCATGCTGGAAAGCTAGAATACCTAAAGGGCTGGATGTTTTTACCCAGGAGTGGATTGCTGTGCTATGAATCCATAATGTAATCCCCCGACATGAAGAGACACACATCATTCAAAAGCTACAGTATATTACAATTTCAACCCATCAGATACGTTGGAAAGCTCATGCATGGAAATCTGAGAACTGCATGAGGTGGAGAGAGAGTGTGCGTGTGTTGGTTTGCTTGTGCATATGTTGTACATATAACACACATACATATGCTGTATATATGTATGCTAATGCATTTTGTCTTGCAAATATGGTGCAGCACAGGCTTGGTGTATACAAGTAGTTATGTGACTGCATCTGCGTTTATATCTGTGTGTGTGTGCATGTATATGTAGAAGTAGAAGTATTTAAGTATGTGTGTTTGATTGGTTGAGTGCATATGGGCATGTAGTTTAGTGTGTATACACTGTGTGTGTGTACTGAGTGTGTGTGTGTGTGGAGTTAGAAGAGCTGTGTGTGGGGGAGGAGCATGTGCAAGAGAATTATGCCTTTTTCAGAGGGGAGGGGTGCATATATGTATGCGTGTATGTGGGGGGATGGGCGGATGGCACACTGTATGTATGTTCACTAAGTGTGTGTGGGCTGGTTTGTGGTGTGTGTGTGTGTGTGTGTGTGTGTGTAAGAGAGAGAGAAAATGTTTGGGAATGTATGAGAAAGAGAAAATGCATTTTATGATTCCTCTTTGTGTGTATAAACTCTGCAGTGTGTATGTGCATATTTATACTTTTATGTCCGTGGTTATGTTTCCAAAATGTCCTTGTGTGTTTGGACTGTATACATGTGTATACACCTTTATATGTGTAAATGTGAGGATGTGTTACTGCTATATAGAGTATAATTATGAGTATGTCTGCAGGTACTATGTCTGAGTGGATTTTTAGATTTGATATGCATGTGTGACCATCTGTTTAAGTGTACTTGAACTGTGTGAATAAGTAAGGTGTGCATCTCTTTGTGTGGGTGGGAATCTCTTTGTTTATGTGCATCTGTGTATGTCTATCTCCAGATAAAGGACTGACCCCCTCTTAGATCATCCATGGTCATTCAAATGACTTAATTATATAACTAGTTACTTTTTCAAAAACTGTTTTAAGGCCTGTAGCATATCTTATTAGATTTTAAATGAGTAAGAGGGACTGTAAGTAGTCAATGAGTCAACAGAGACGCACATCAAATATGATTACTGTATTACTTTTGCTAGGATTCACTCGAGTGTGACAGAGAGAGAGAGAAGCCCAGTGCAACATCCACACAGAAAAGCAAAACAGTAAAGGAGGTATGGGTACAAAACAATGAAAATGTAGAATCGTACTAATAATGATAACTATATTAATGACATTAATAGGACTAACAATAATGACTGTAGCAGAGTGTGTTGAGCAAGAACACGGGGGCAGCAGGAAGCCTGCATCCACAGATCCAGACCCCTCAGCTCTGGAGCCAGAAGCACCTTCAGAAAGTGACAGAATGAGAGAAGTTACAAGTCAGTAACATGCATTAATGGGATAAGAATACATGCAGATGGTGAGAGCGGCGGGTAGAGGATCTCATTGCATCATGGGAGGTCTCGCAGCAGTCTAGGACTATAGCAGCATAACTAAGGGATGTCTCAGGACTCACCTGAGCCAGCCCCAACTGTAAGCTTTATCATATAATCAATATAATTATCATAATGCTCGCCAAGCGGCTACTCCGATACACCCTCAAAAACAGCGGTGGAAAAACAGTGAGCTGCAGCACACACCTCTCCTCTCCCTTCCAAACACCAGCTACCCTCCAGGCAGTCAGTGGACAGAAAGTTGTTACTGTGATGTAGAGACTGAGCTCAGTTAAAACTTTATGGATGAAAGATACTTTTGTTACAGATTAATAACTCACCACTCTGAAACTCTCGCTCCAGTCCATGTTGCCAAGCTGGTCGGCAACATGTACAGCTGAACCCAAGCTGTTTACGGTCTTTCCGCTGGCACGGCCTTCTCTGCTTCTGATTGGCTAGTAGTCCTTAACTACGAACTGCACATGTGCAACTCAGAAATTTGTATTTATGTAAATATTCATTCTTTGTGCTCTATTTTTCTATAGTGTTGGGTTTTAGGTAAATATTTTTTATTCTAAATGATGGTGGTCCCACCTAAGTGGTTTTACCCACTTAATTATCTGCAGCAGGGAGTGTATAAAAGGCAGCTAGTTGGTTTCAGGGAAAGTTTGTTGCTGGTTGGTGGTAGTGTCTCATTGTGTCTTTATGGAAGACAATAAATGCCATGTTTGTGCTTTGCATTTTACCTCTGTCTCATGTCTCTGGGGAAAACTTAAAGCCACCACCAGGCTATCATAATTTTTACAATTTTATGTCGGTGAAAAAGCACCCTCTGGAGGGTTTAATTTTTTGTCTCTCCCGGCTGCCTTAAAGTCAAGATGGCGGTGAATGTAACAAAAACGGGTATTAAAACTAAAAAAATAGTTACTAGTAACGCATGGAATAGTTTCATTAGTAACAAAACATTGAGTACTAGTATCTAATTAGGCTAATTGTTACTTGTAAAATGTGTAACTAGTAAAGAAAGAAGGGGAAGAAATAAGGCTGTTGGTCAGAACAAGCAGATCAGAACAATCAGAACAAATAGAAACTATAAGTGCAAGAATGGGAAAAGATGCTGAGATGTCAAACTGAAACACTGGACAGGATGAACCCGCTGAATTAACCTGTTAGGAGGCCCTGAGGAAACAAAATGCTGTTGGGCATGCATACATGGCCCTATAGGTTCACTGTAGCAATGTCCCCACAATGTTTGTGATAACTTGCACAACTTTTTTGAAGTTAATGCACCATGTGAGCACGATATAAACTAAAACTGAATTTGATTTGCTAATATTGTGCTTTGATTGTGAACATTGCGATAAAGTAATCAGATTACCAAAGAGACACAGTGGAGTTTAGAGATTTTTTACTATAAGAATGACAATGTTACTATCAATAAACCATTTTACCAATCATTAATGAAACCAAAGGAAATTTACTAGTAAGAATGACAATGTTACTAGTAAGTAATGAATAAATGATATCTGAACGGCAGAGCCTAAACTAAACTAAAAAATAGTTACTACTAACTAATAAATAAGTAGGCTACTGGTAGTTTTTCAATAGTGACTGGTAAGTTTTAAGGAATAAATGTTAACGGCTTTTGATAAGTGAGCACTATATAAACTGGATTTGATTTGCTAATATTGTGCTTTGATTGCGTATGTTGTAATAAAGTAATCTGATAACCAAAGAGACACAGTGGACCTGGGTTTTAGGGAGAGGTTTGATTCACGCAAGTATTTTTTAGTTACTCGTAACTATTCCACTCTTACTAGTAAGAATTAAAATGTTACTATAAACATGCCATTTTACTAGTCATTAATGCAAAGACTAGTAACCAAAGAAAATGTGCCAGTAAGAATAAAAATGTTACTATGAAAATGTTACTAGTATCTTTTGGAATAGTTACTAGTAACTAATGAATAAATGATATCTAACAATTAGTTATTAGTAAGTGGTGGTGATGGATGCTGATAGTGTGCTTTGGTTGTGTACATTGTGATAAAGTAATCAGATTACCAAAGAGACACAGTGGTTTTAGGGAGTGGGTTTATTAAGACTGGCTGGCTCTCCTCCTCTAGATGGTGCACATTCTCCCGTTCAGCTGTGTCAAGATAAGCAAAAATGCACATGTCGTTTTACTCTCAAAATAAAATATCTGCCTCAACAACAATATTTTAAACAATACGCAGTTTCTGACTGCAGTTAAAGTAATGATTGCAACGATGCAAATAAACGGACTGAATACGCAGTGTTTGCTTTGTTCTTACCGAGCTCTTCATTTATCTGCTGACATTAATCTGCGCTTTTATTTTGTCAGAAACTGTTCATCCGGGTTTGCTGTGTCTAACTCCTGCGAGCTCGATGCAGGAGCTCTTTGTATGACTGGTCCGCGAGGTACCACAGCACCGAGCACACGCACGGCAGCAGCAGCAGCAGCAGCAGCAGCAGCAGCATTCACGCACAGAGTCCCAACAAGGGACAGACAGGGTCCAACGAAGTCCCCTGTCCGGAACCACAAACCAGCACTGGATACCTGACACGGTAAAAGTGGAGAAAACGACGCTTTTTTTTGAAGTGCACCATTGCATATTAACATTTTTATTTAACCTTAGATAATAAAGAAGTTGGTTTAAGTTTTCTACTCGCAGCAGCAGCAGGAGAAAGAGCCTGAAAGCCGCCCGGCGTGAAGACAACACCAACCTAAACTTCACTGACTGCACGCTTGGTTTAGGCTCACATCGCCGACTTATTCTAGAAACCTGATTTGTAGATTTATCGGACAGTGGTTGTTTCTCTTGTTTTTTTTTGAGTCAAAAACCTCCAACTTATTATTTAAAAAAACAAAAAAAAAACAAAAAAACAAAACAAGGTTATCTCGTTTGTTTGGGACATATCAGGCAACACAGAGATAAGAGAAGACAGAAACTCGAAGAGCAGGACTGACTGGAGAAGTGGATGTATTTTCAGCTATGGATGTAACAGTTTACCCGCCTCCTCCTCAGCCTCTGACCGCGTCAGACCACTCCAGGCTGGGGCAGCTCTCCTACCCTGACCCGGCCTTTGGGACCAACAAGGTAAGCAAGGAAAGAAGGAATCTACATAGGCTACTTCTGTTTGTGGTGTTCTGTAAGGATTACCTTAGCTGTATCTCCTCTCTGTGTATTCATCTGTCTTGCCCTGTCAATTAAGTTGTAATTAATTGCTCCAGTTATTCACGCAGCTACTGAAGCTATTCCAGTGTTAACCCATTTCTTTGGATTACATCTAATCACTGTGTGATGCACATGCTGTAATTATACCCAGAGTTTGCAATGACACCTTTTAATTAAAACTTCACCACCAGTAATTGAAAGGTAATTAAGTTTAAATATGTCTGGCTTAGAAGTTCAAACGCAGTTGTGATTAAATTGTGAGAAGCACATACATCTTTTGGTATGCTTTAAATTGTTAATATTTAACAGCAGGTTACAGCAAGTGTCTCTCATTTCTGTTTTGTGACACTTAAGTTAATTGGCATCTGGGAAGAGCTGTTGTCTTTCTCCCTCCCAAGCAAGGTCCAAGGTCAGGGTCAGATTCACACCAGGGTCTTGCTTTAAGGCACCTCTTAAGCAGGATGGATGAATCCTCGGGTCATCAAATACAATACATTATTTTTAATCAATATCTATCTATCTATCTATCTATCTATAGGGATGTTAGTCAGTGTCAGGTATCTTAACACAAGACACAGTGAGACCATGCTCATTTGATGGTGATTAATTGCTTAATTATTTAACTAGATGCAGCTGATGAGCACAGCTATTAGAGTTAAGGACAGATTATTAACCTCTCCTCAGTCTTGAAGACTTGAAGACAGTCTTTGTTGTGCCATGAATCCCCCTTCCTCGCTCAGTATTTAATAGACTATAAATAAATAAATAAAAATGCAATTTTATAAGAAAAAAAACAGCTATTTCACTAGTGTTTCCTGTCAAACCGTGCCAGCTGCAGTCTGCTGTATGGAGTCCTCTGTCTCACAGCTCAGTTACATTTCAGGTTGATTTATTGACTTGGCATGTGGTGTATATTTGTGTTGCTAAAGCATATAAAGGAAAGTGATCAGAATACTCTTCGGCCTCACACACAGCTGTACTCAGATTGCTTTCTGTTCCTTTACTGGTTGTTTTTTTATAGATTTAGTGGACTATCAGAACAAACTTTAATCAGTGACAGGCTCCTCTGTTTAGCCTAACCCATCAGCAGTGTGACGTTGTGGTTACAAAAACTTTGCTTTAACCAAATATGCTGGGTTCAAACCCTCTGCTAGCAAGCATCTGCCTAAGTGCCACGACTGTGCTGACTTTAGTCCAATACTACGTACTCAAGTTTAAGGCAAGTGTTGTGAGTGCTGTTTCTTACATGTGCAATTATCTCCATATCCCTTGCGTAGTCAATGCAGCATAAATAAAACTTCCACAATGCAACGTACAAAGAAAATGGAAACGCTACCTTTATCTGTAAAACAACTTAAAATAGTTGTGGGGAGAAATCTTTGGAAAGTTGTGGCATTTAATTGCCGAGTGTCATTCTGAAGACACAGTTTGTTTATGGAGCACAAATGTTGACTTCTTGTAAACCAGTGCACTATGGCAATTATTATAGATACTGTATACATATAGTGTGTTGTTTGGAATTGGAGCACAGCATCTGATTCCCTACCAGCTGACTGTGACCTCTGACCTGTGCTGATTGGACATGGACAGAATATCTCATTAATGTCTTTATGTGCTAGATTATTAGTTATTGACTGTTTTTTTTATTTATCGTCTGTTTGTCTTGTAAGCTCGGAGTCTAGTGTAATGTGTAGAAATAATGCTCTGCACACAGAACCATACAGCGCTGCACTGTGTTGTTGTCGGTGAGTGTATTTGTTTCAGAAAGAGGGAGGGCGAGATTGAAGATAGAGACTGGGGATGTGGAGAGAGAGCGAGCTGTGTGGTTGGGGGTAGGGACTGAGGAAAGAGAGAGAGAGAGAGGGAAAGAGAGAAGAGGTTTGTTGGGGGTAGGGTTTTTGTAGATGAGAGAGAGAGTAGTGGGGGTGGGGCCACTAAGGTTTATACTATACTACCATATTTCTCTCTCTGTCTCCTGACTCACAGCTCTGTCTGCCTGATAGAGGAGATCATATTACTGTGTGGGGGAGAACGAGTATACGGTATATATAAAAAGGGAGAGAGAAGGGCACAGCAGAGGGAAGAGGGAGTGAGAAAAGTATAGGAGGCACGGGAGAAACAAAATGAGAGAGAAAAGAAAAAGGGGAACAGAACAGAGAAAGATTGTGTTGCGAGAGGTGGGAGGCGTGTCCTAACAGATGTGCTAATGTATAGATGTAAAACCAGCGGTGGTCTACATTTTCCATTTCAGTTTAACAGAAAATTCTCTGCAACGTTTCACTACATAGTTTTCCTTTGAGTAGGATCTTTGGCAACCAGGATAATGTTTTTTTGGGGGGCATACATTAGTTCCTTGGATGGACATAATGAGGAGACATCGTTAATGAACTTGTTTGCCAGGATAATGTTGTTACCGAACGTTTCCACTTGAGAACATATTTCATTTGTTTTCCTACAATATCTGATCTTGCAATACACATGGTATTCACTTCCTAAGCACGAGACAGGAAACAATGACTTTCTTGACATTTAACAGAAACCATGAAAAAATTAATCTCCCCTAGAGGTATTAATAAAGTACTTCTTCTTCTTCTTTTCTTCTTCTACTTCTTCTGACCGTAACCAATGGTTCTTTTAATGTCTACACCAAACCCCTGACTTTGGTGTCCTCTGCTTTGTATGCATACCGTCCACCTCGACCACCTCCCTTGACTAACTTGTGTGTGGTGATGGTGGTAATGTAGCACTTCCTGCACTGGAAAAAACAATGCAGGGAAACATAATCTACGCAACAATTACATTTCTCTTCAAATCACAACAAGCAGAACAAAAGAACTTGAGCTCGATTAGTTACGATTCATCGACTGACAGAAAAAAGGATAAGATATTTTGTTTTCAGACTGTTCTTACAGACAAAACATTTGATAACCTCAGAGGAATCTGTAATAAGCAGTTTTCTTTACAGACCAAGCAATTAATCAGTTTATCAAGAAAAAAATAGGGAGATGAATCAACAATGAAAGTAATTGTTAGTTTTGGCCCAAGCATAGACTGTGTAAAAGAAGTGGGCGTATGTAAACTGTGATATCAACCAGGATGCTAATTTTGGCTAACGATAAACAAAATTCTCTTACCGGAAAAACGAACAGCCGACTCCTAATAAGCTTTTTCAGCGGCGATGGTTAAATGTACACGGTGCTGTGGATACTATTTGCCTCTAACCTGATTGACAGATCGCAGCTGTAGCTACTTGTCAATCTCAAGGTAGCTGCGCCTTAAAGCATCCCCTGCTCTATCGTCTATTTTCCTCTAAATGGAACCTTGATTTACTAAATACTTACTTTATACTAACGACTGAGACCATAAACTCATTGGGAAAGTGTTTACTGAGGTAATAATTCAGGTGGGAAGTGGAGTCAGTTTGCCATTGCGTCCAATGCAACCAGTGGAGTCGCCCCCTGCTGGCAGTTAGGAAGGACGCAGCTTTATGACACTTCCATTTTGGCTTTACTTTTCAGACCTGGAGGTTCCTGTTTGGGCCCAACAAATTAAAAGAATATAAAGGTAATTTGTAGGAGACAGGTTTGAGGAAATGATGTTAACAGAAAACCTGTAAGTTACAGGCTGTAACTTTGGCATTTATTTAATCTGATGAAGGCCACACCAATAATCAACCTTGAAACTGTCGCTTGTCCCAATTTAAAAAATAAATTTAATAAATCTCTTTGCTGGGCCTCCCAGACTGACCCAGACAGGATTCTTCCCAAGCTGTGCACTGCCTTCGTTATGTTCTACCAATAAGATGCTTTAGGTTGCTGTAATTTATTCAGGGTTTGTGGTCATGAGAGAATTTGAATAAAACCTCAGAAGAAGATCTGTCTGGGAAACTCAACCCCCATACAAAAATAGTCATCAGATAGCGGTAAACATGGTGGTGTAATGAATCACTCGGTGATATTTTAATCTTTAATTTTACCTTTATAACAAGATTTGAATAGTATGAACTGTTGATACTACTGTACACTAAACGACAGATGGCCGTGCATGTTTTTTATTGCTGCACCGTGTGTACTGCAGGACAGATTTCCTTCCTCTGTGGAGCCCAAGTTTTTTTATTTTTTTACTAACACTGATAACAAAGAAACTTAATATAAAAGAGTGTCAGGCTCTGTGGCCAGCAGCCAGCTCAGTGTCACTGTTGTGATGCACGTGCACAGTTTAGTCACGTGGAGGGCTGGCTGGAGGTGCAGAAGTGAGGGAGCCACGCTGAGCTCTGATTGGATGACAGTGGAGAATATGACTGAGTCATTTGATAGAGAAGTTAATTTATTGTAATGTTGCAATGAGGTGACTTTAGCTTCTGTATAAAATTACACAAGTGGGAGCAGTTTAAATATGTTACTTCTGAATTAAGCTCGACGCCTTGTGAAAGAAAGAAAAAGAGAAAGCAAGAGGAACAGCAAAGGGATGAATCAGGGAGTTTAGTAGAGGAAGGGAGAGGTGCAAGAGGGACGGGGTCTAATGTAAACATGGTGATTGTGAAAGCTGGGTGAGGTATTTCTAAAGCAAACAGAGAGGGCCAGAGAGCAGGGAGGAGAGAAGTAGGTTTAGTAAAAGACAGGAGAATATAGATTGAAGGAAGAGCAACAGGGGAGAGGATGAGATGTGACAAATGTAGAGAAGCACACAAGGGACAGAAACAGTAACAGCAGATAAAGGGCAGAACGAGAACAGTCAGCAAGAGGAGTAAGAAGAACTATAATACTTAGTATGAGACTATATAAGAGAAGTATTACATTCAAAACTTGAGTTGTCACAGCCATCGTCTGAGGTCATGAATTGTTTTCACATCATCCAAGTCATTGTATTAGTTCAACAGGTTTGGTGCATAGTGATGGTGTAGTATCACTATAATGGTTTTA